AAATTTAATCCTTAAAGAAAACTTCCATTTACAAACTAAGTTTCTACTTCCATTGTATTGGCAAACTCTTAAAAAAATTCCCTATTTACACACAAAATTATTTAAAGCACAAGAGCACAACTAGGTTGACCAAGGATGTGGATTGACACTTTATACAATATAAGTATATTTTATGGTTTACTCTTTTTCACAGTATATCTCGCCATTCAACATGCCTAAACAAGGAAATTATTCATTAAAACCTTTTTATCACAAATAATTAATAAATTTTTAATTTTTTTTAAGCTTAATAATCTTATTTGTGTTAAAGAAGTAAAAAAGTTTAAGAAAATATCACATATCCGAATCTGCCCAAACTCAAAACCGTTTATCAGTTAATGAGTCTGAGCCAGTCTTATCTTTATCCAGTCATACAAAAAAGTTTATTATTTTTAATTTTTAAACCCCAAATTCTTAATGCATTTACTATCTGACTTTCTACTTGATCTCGGCCTTCTGAACAAGTTTTAACTTAAATAAGCGTCCTAGAAAAGCATTTCTCGGTATATTTTGTAGAAATTGTACTATGGCCCAGCCAATGCACTTGTTGACTTTTTTGATGCAATGAACACATGTGAAATCCAACTTGCTTGTAACAGTGTAAATATTTCTCAGGAGATTTTTAAATTTTGAGCCATTTCAAATCGCTTTAAGTGAATTTTTCAATTGCCAAAATATTTAACAGGCACCAATGGCAATTTTTTTCTGCCCTGAATATTGCTGCATTAGATGCTCAAAGATCTATCCAGATTTTGAAGCAGGCATCTGTTTTTAAAAGATTTAGAATTAAATCTAATAAAAAAAATCGAATTGAACAACAATCGGAGTTTAATACTTTATCAAGAAGATTCGTCACTGTATACAGAAGGAAAGCAGATGTTTCAAACAAATGTGACATTTGATTGACTAAAGACAAATGTGCACATGAACTAAGGACTACAAAATTCGAATGAAATGCCCAAAATTTTGTAAAAAATTACTTACTTTAACCACAGAAATGTACTTTGTTTAAAGTGGACACAGATTAAATATAAAAATAAGCCTTGTGTATTAGTGATGTAATTAAACTAAGTGGTATGTATATATATTATTAGTATTTTCATATACACAAATTGTTTATAAACTTATTTTTGAAAAATTTTTTCAGTTATTTAAGTTTTAATCACTTATTATAAATGAAAAACTGTGTAAAAGCATAATGCTATTTGCATCGAATTTATCAGGATTGGGGCATGATATAGCCCACCGAGAGCACATTTAGTTTTTTTGAGCTTGCATCTTACTTGCAGGTTAAATGACTTATCAAAGATATGCTAACTGAGAAGGTAATTTGCAACTCAAAGTGGGAAATATTCATCAGCATCAATGTTTATGATGAAATATTGTAATAGCTTTCATAACATGAAAGAAAAATATTTTTTAAAAAGCAATATATTCTAATAAAGCTTCAATAAACTTTTTTGCTAAAAAATATTTTAGAAAATGGATAATTTTTGATAAAATCTTATAAATATAAATGCATCAAAGAATCGAAATTTTTTAGCAGTCACCTAATTATTGAAATACATTAAAATCCAGCATCAGAAAATTTCTCAGCATTTGTATCATTTTTCTTTCTTCCCCCCCCCCCTTTTTTTAAAAAAAAGTTTTTTTTTAAATATTAAAACGTAACAGAAAAAATGAATGCAATGAAATATTTTTATTGAGTACTTTTTAACTCAAACTTTCAAATTGGAAATTTGGGAAGGAAAAACATCTGGTTTATGAGATTACATAAATACCTGGATTGCATATCATTTCTAACTAAGCAGCACACAAGTATCTTACCTTTACTAATTTTTTCTTTCCCAATTGGGGTTTTCCATCCTCACCAATGGGATCAAGAATTACACAATACTGTCGATTAGAAAGTGTAGTTATATGAACTACTCCTACAACTTCTTCATACACACCAGGAATGAATGTTTCAGTATCCTCAAAGGTGATGAGCCACTCTTCACCATTTTTTCTAGTTTTATTAAATTCATCAACAAACGTCCTTTTGGCTCTAATGTGAACAGCTTCCTGTTAATGTAAAAAAATCAAACTTAATATATTTGATTATCAAGTTAAATTAAAACAGCTCCAAAATAATTGAAGGACAGTTTTAAAGTTTTATTTAGGACCGGTGTAACAGTTTTTTAAAATACTAAACTTTTGTATGAATTGCATCTGAAATTGAAGTAACAATATAGTTTTAAATGTAATCTAACTTTAAAATAATTTTTTTATTTATTCAGTTTAATGCTATTTAAATTTAAAATGTGATGGAAAATGAGACTATAATTCGGAACATGTAACTATAATTCGAAACATGTTATTGTAATCAAGAAAAAATGTTAGCTTTTAAATAACATACACTTGTTTCATGAATAGGATCCAACAAATTTTGTGAATGTGAAAAACTACATAATTTATAATTGCCCTGCATTATCACCAAATGTCCGCATAGATTTTCCCCTCTTAAAACAACTGCATTCACTAGATAAACTTGTCTTTATGTGTTTTTTTGCAATGCAACTTTATCTATTTTCAATCTAAGAATATTTTTAGTAGTTTATCCTTGACTATCCTAGGAAAATTAATTCAAAACTTACTATACTAATTAAGCAACACTGTAATTGAAACAAGCAACATCAAAATTTGTATTTTCAGTTATATTTGTTTTTTTGGTCATCCACAACCTATTTGCATAATTTTAAAAAGTTGTTACATACTAATTTTTAAAACTTTCCAATATAATTTATAAGGTTTTACTCTTGTATAAGTTAAAAAAATTACAACACAAACAAAATCAGTGTAGAATTAGTATAAAATCAAAAAATTATTCAGTTTAATAAGATTATTTAAATTACCCAAAAATTATATCTCAACATTGTGCCAGTAATAATGCAAACCACTAATTGATTTTTTAAAATTACATAACTAAAATTTGAAAACAAATATTAATAATACCTGAATTTTAAAGCATTTATTAAGTCACTATCTCTTCAATAAATCATACACCCTACCTTTTCCGTAAGAACATAGGCATCAACGACATCTACAATTTCTTCATAAGCACCTGGAAGATATGCACCCGTTTTTTTTACAATCCATTCTTCCCCAGCCACTCTGCTTTTGCCTTCTCGATCTTTAGTTTCAGTTTTGGCTTTCAATCTCAAAGCTTGGTTAGGTTTTATAACAGTTGCAGAAACAGTTCTAACAATTTCAACTTCTTTACGAGGAACAAAAGTACCTGATAAAAGAAAAAAGCTAAATTAGGAAGACAACTAACATATCCAACAAATAAATAATTACATAATAAACAAAAAAAAAACAGTATAGTGCGAGAATAAGAACTTAGGAAGAAAATTAGAGGGTGCTGGAAAGGGCAGTACAAATGTCTTGTTAACAAGATTTTGAGTAAGTAAAAAATTTAGAATTTAGATTTGAGGAATTTCAAAAAAGTTGGCGGAATATAAATTATTAATTTGTGCAAGTCAGCAAATCAACGGTCTTGGCAGTTGCGGAACTCCACGAATTAGCGGAAGAATCGCATGCCTGAAAGATGCAATATGAAAAATTAGTCTTGAATTTGCATTGATCTAAAATAAAGGTCAGTTAAAAAAACCTCAGGAAAAATATCCCCAAAACAAATCTGACTAGAGAAAAAAAACTATACAAATTTCAATGAGATAATTCTTCTACAACCTTGCTCTTCCTCGCACCAAAAAAAAAATTACAGCCTCACAAGAAGGCAAA